CCCCCCCCCCTAGCCCCCCACCCCCACCCAGCCTCCACTGCTGCAGCCATAACAGGGCAGGGTGGAGGATTTTCTTTTGGGATTAAACCTTCATCGACCCCAGCCCCTCCTGCATCCACCCAGCCAGCCCCAGCTTCAGGTCCCTCTCTGTTTGCTTCACCGATCCCTACTCCTGCTTCTCTGGCCACTGCAGCGGGTACAGGCTTTACTTTGGGTGCACCTTCAAATGCAGCTGCTAGCATAGGTGCTACCACAACCACAGCAGGTAGTGGTCTGGCGTTTATGCTCAAACCTCCAGGGTCAGCTACCTCCATCTCTGCACCTGCCTCTACTGCTACAAGCACAGCTGTCGCAACAGTTGCTGCTACGGGCTTTACACTGGGACTCAAACCTGTGTCTGGCACAACCGCCACAACGACTGCTACAGCCACCACAATCACTACAGCCACTGCTCCTCCAGTGATGACCTATGCCCAGTTAGAGGGTCTCATTAACAAGTGGAGTCTTGAGCTCGAAGACCAAGAGAGACATTTTTTACAGCAGGCAACTCAGGTGAACGCCTGGGACCGCATGCTGGTGGAGAACGGTGAGAAGATCACAGCCCTGCACAAGGAGATGGAGAAGGTGAAACTAGATCAGAGGAGGCTAAACCAGGAGCTGGATTTCATCCTCTCCCAACAGAAGGAGTTGGAGGACTTACTTTGCCCTCTTGAGGAGTCAGTGAAAGAGCAGAGCGGGACCATCTACATGCAGAATGCAGATGAGGAGCGTGAAAGAACATACAAGCTCGCAGAAAACGTGGATGCTCAGCTGAAGAGGATGTCGCAGGACCTGAAGGAGATCATCGAGCACCTGAACACGTCCAGCGGCCCAGCAGACACCAGCGATCCGGTAAGATGACGCCTAACACTTTAGATATTGTAACACCTGCCATGACATATATTTTTTTGGTGCTTTAATATAATCCTTTCTTATTTCTTCTTTTAGCTTCAACAGATCTGTAAAATCCTCAACGCCCACATGGATTCACTCCAGTGGATCGATCAGAATTCTGTTCTCCTGCAGAGACGGGTGGAGGAAGTGTCCAAACTGTGTGATAACCAGCGCAAGGAGCAGGAGAAAACCTTCCGTTTAACATTTGACTGATCTGCAGCAAATATGTTGGCCTCTATGTTGACAGTGCTAATTAGAAATTATTTTTGTAGCCATAAATGGGCACATCTTTTTAGGGGTCAAGATGTTTTGGGCTTGCATTCAGTTCCTGTTAATCATATTTTCCCTCAAATGTTTGGAGCTTTTGATTGATTAACATTATCATTGTGATAGCATTTATATAGAGTATTGAAAATCAGTTCTCCCATGTAAATGCCATGCTTGTTCTATATACTATCATTAAATAAACCTTTGGATTAAAGTTCTGCTTTATTGTTTAGTAAATAAGATACACAAACATCACTGCCATCTACTTCAGTGGTACTCTTAGTCCCAGAAGTATACACCTTAATGTACCTGTGAGATTTTAATTACATCTGCTGAAAATATATCAAAAGAACAAATTGCACATAGTTTAAATTTTTATATAGTGCAGCTGATCAACAGAAAATGTATCAGCATAAAATATCAGATTAAACAGGGAAACTGACTAGTTGCAGTCCTGCTCTTATATCAACCACATTAATGGTAATTAAATGCAATAGCAGCAATCACTTTTTAAGCATTTTATTTAACAGTTCATCAAGTAACACATTCACTTTGATTTCAAGCTATAAAACATTACTTTTCACCATCTTCCCTTTGTAATCCTCTTTGCTTCAGTGACGACCTACAGTACAGTGGATGCTACCCGAATGCCACAGTCGTGAGAAAAGGTGAATAATTATTGTGAACACACTCACGAAACAGACCTACACTTAGAGTCAGTTGTGTTCATTTGCACACCTTTAAATACTGTCATGATAACGTACCTAAATGTCATTCCAAGGAAGGTAGAAGCATCTTGGTAAGTACTGAAACTAGACACACAAACCAACATCGGGATGTGTAGCCTACTGATTTACAGTCCCATTACACATGTGCCTTCCTTGCACAGACTTCAGGTTTCCAGTAAGACAACTTCACAAAAACAGTAGTAAACTTTGTCCTGCTCCAACACAGACACAAGACAGAAACTCTTTGGCTGCATGAACATTTTTCTTATCAAAAAATAAATTACCGTGGATGTTTAATTTGTACAAAACTTACAAAAAATGTCATCATCTATACAAAGTAAAAATTCAGACATAGAATAGAAATACAAAATTCAAAGAAATGATTATCATGTTCACAACCAGCAAAGTACACTGTGTTTGTGGCTTGATGGTATTTAATAAAAAATATTCATCACCATCTGCAAAACTCAACTGACCAGAAAAATGAATCACGAGTAACTCTCGTTGTCAGTCCAAGTTGTCATCCACTGCTTTTGGTCAAAAGGGTCCAGCTTGACTTTTCCATCTTTGTACTCAGGAGCTTCCTTTCTTATCCGCACCGCGTGGTATCGAGGGACGCTCTCATCCTGTTTGGATCGTTTGAAGAATCCACACTGGGGAAGGGGAAATTTTAAAAACCATTATTAAAAAGTGAAAAATCTCAGTGCGCTGTAATCAGCAGAGGAGAGATGTGCAGGACGGTGAAGCGTGCTTTGTAGTTTTTAACAAGCAGCCAAGCAGTAAAAGCAGTGTCAGCAAAAAAGCACAATTACAGAAAATACATTTTGAACAAAAGATTAAGCCTGTTGGTAAGAAAATGCATAAATTTCTTAGCAAAAGAGACACATATAATAATACTTTTCTAATCTCACACTGAACTGGGCATGTACTGAAATGTTATGTTCTAGTGTTATATTTTTCTAGATAACCTGCTTCATCTGCTTAGTACAATATGTGTCTGATCATATTAAATCAGCTTATTTGTCTAAAAGGTGAGTTCATTAGTGACTGCAGTAATCACACTCCATGCTGGCAGCGTGTTTTACCCCTGGTCAGAGATTATAAATCAGGCCTCAGCAGAGAGTTTGTCTTTGTCAGAGGGCTGAACATGGATCTCTGCCTTGTGATATGCAGCATCATATTGGTCTTTTGTTGCTCTCTTGAAGAAACCGCACTGAGGGGGGGAGCAAGGGTGATGAATTGTTAAGAGTAACAAACTGAATCAGCCAAAAAAGTCAGTAGCCATGATTTATTCCAGCAAAACTATAAAAATACAAAATACATTTTATGAAGAAAAAGATAAAGTATCTGGAGACTCATGTTGATGCTCAGATTTCACCTGACACCAACCAGACGTTTAAACCTAAACCCAACCCTAATTTTTGTATTTATTTAGTTTGTTTAATTAAAAGTTTATATTGACAGCCCAAAAATGTCTGCAGGCATTCACAATAACATGAAACCTACAAAAAAATCCTCTTTTTTGTACCTGTAACCAGTGAATAAAAACTAGAAGTCAAGGTGAATAAAGTGAATTTTTACACCATCTTCATATCTTTTACTTTTGACAAACTGCATCTTTCAGGACCCAGTTTTCTGCGAGGTTCAACAGAGTTCATGTTCAGTCTCCCATTATCACCCCTTGTTACCTCCTGTTTTACCAAACACGGATAATATGAAGTTGTAACATCCTTGCACTCACCTTCCAGAGCAGAAACACCAGCAAAGCCAAAATGAGGATTCCTGCAAGAACAGCTACCAGTATGATCCACCAGGGAACTCCCCCATACTGTACTGCTGCACCTTCTGGGGTCACTGCCACTGTCACCTGCAATAAAACATCAACGGGAGGGAAACTAAGTGATCAGTGGAGTTATGGTTGAGGTAGTAAACAGGAAATAGTTTCATGTAACTGCTGAGTTGCTCACATCAGTGTCAGGAGTTCTCAAGATCATGTTTTTAGCCTGAGTATGAAGCACGAGGGAGGCCCTCACAACTATATGCAAGGTTGAAAGAGCAGCATAATCCTGTGTAAAAACAGAAACACCTGCTCAGGTAAGACAGCCAGGACACTGTAGTGAAACACTAATGAGACACATGGAATTACTTAAAATACAACATTTCACCTCAATAAAGGTCGAGTTCCACAGGCGTGATCTCAGCCTGATTGTTGTACCATCCAGGCCCTGAAGGGGGCAACTGAGCTTCACACATGTGAGCTCCTTCTCACACGTCTAGGAAACAAGAGAGTCTGCCACAGCTCAAAATAATCCACAGCTTTGTCAAAGAACTTGAATACTTCCAAACAAAGACTCACCAAAACTTTATTTTTGTCTGACAAAGATGCTCTGCCACCGGTTTTACTCTCAATTTCCCGTTTTGTCCGGGACACAGAGGCCTCCTGAAAGCACACACCTTCTTATTAGCTCAAAGCGGAAAGAAGCAGTGAGGACAGGCTGTAACAATTATGATTTTACTTCAAAGTACATTGTGGGAAAAATTAATGAAAATTCCACCTGAATGTGCCTGAGAGAGTTGATCTCAGACTCGGGAGAGCAGTGGATGTCCTCTGGTCCTATAGCAGTGATCTTAAACAGGTACAGAAGCCATTTCCCATTTTTGCTCAGTTTGGGCCACTGAATGTGAAGTGAGGCTTTGACAGAAGAATCCAAAGACTTCCACAAGCTGTTTATCTGAAGGGGAAAAATCCAAACAGCAGCTCTTAGTTCAAAATTTGGAATTGTACTTATTTAATGGGCCAATATAAAACAGATCAGATGAATAAACTTACTCTGAATGTATAGTTAATCAAACTTCCGATCTCTTCTTCTGTCTTCATGGCACTTTCTCCTTTCACAACACCTCCAAAGGAAACCTGATTGGGACTGGCTTCCCTAATGAAAAATATTTTTATTTCATACTCTGTATCTACTGTATGTCCAGACAAACAGTAGTTTAATAGGACAGGGTCTAGAACAGCACACTTACCCACTGACTGACAATGGCAATTCAATGATTACATGAGCCTTTACTTTCACTGGGGCGATATTCTCTTGCACGCTGGTCCTGAAACGAAAAAATACAATAATACAGTGCAATACACTGATAAATATTAACCGCATTAGCAACTTACCTTACGGCAGAAACTTACTACTTTCAGCAAAGAGCTTGAACAGAACAGAACAACAGTACTTACGTCTGGAGCTGCAGGTCAATGTCAATCTCTGTGGTGTCCAGACTCATACCCAAAGTGCTCAGGATGATATAAAATGTAGTCTTGTAGAAAAAAAAAGGAGAAACCATCTGCCATCGCTTTCTACTAAGTACTAAGTGGATGAACGTGTGAAAAACCTTTGACAAGTCTGTACCTCTGAGTCTCTCTTAAAAGGATTTCCCAGCTCACAGTCTGCTTGGGAGCTGTTCTGACTGGCAGTGCAGATGATCGGCTTTTCCATCTGGAAAGAACACGTAAAATTTGAACAAGTGGATGGTTAGCAAACTACAAATCAATGTGCAATTAGCAACTCGGAAATTAGAGTATACTGTACTTTCTGAATATTTTGATGTTTTAAACCATTTTTAATGCCAGTGCTGTGTCACTAGGTATGTCAGTGACTGACAATTGACCAGTTTATGTCCACAGCTATTGGATGGATTCCCGTTTTGTACAAACGTTGGGATCCCAGAGGATAATGCAGATGACTTTGGCGATCCCTCAACGTTTCATCTAGCACCATCAGTAGGTCAAAATTTTCCCTTTGTCTTGACGAGGTGTGAAGACATAAGACCAAATTCCTACCTGTCTCAGCTTGTCACATTTTATAAATGACTGGGCCCAAATGCACAACAGAGAACACAGGAAGGGGGCGATAAGTAAAGGCATTTATTGTGGGGCACTAAGAGGGCACAGCCACTCCATGGGCAAAGAGTGGTGAAATGGGTAAATGCAGCGATGTAGTTTCTCAGGGTGATGGCGCTCTAGGACTGCTCTGTCTGCTTGACTCAAATATGAGTTTTGCAGGTGAATGGAAGCAAACTGGGAGCTGGGATGTGGAGACAGTGGTAGAGGCACTGAGCCACATGCAGAGAAGATGGTGGCCAAACGGCTGAGTAGGCAGATAATGAGACAATGGGTACATCTCATGTCTCTTATAAGAATTTCCCTCACTTATGCCTTTTTCTTGTGTCCTTGTCCTGCCCACGTAAGATGTAAGGAAAGCATATGAGGAGAGAGGACTTGTGGAAACATAAGTGACATGTGACATCATTTCCTCAAATCCTTCATCTGAAGTGTTCAATCAGCAACTGATTTCAGATAAAGGGGCATGTCAGTTCACAAAAAACCTCTGCCAAGAATGGACTAGTGTTTCATCAGTCATGACTCCTCCAGCACCATCCTCAGTCCTCGCTCCTCAGAGCCGACATAAGAGACTTGGAACATCCTCCATCCTCAGTAAACTGGAACAATTTCTGGATTGACTGGGGACTGATCTTATAAGAGACAAGAAACATGTTTGCAGGGAGATGAGGACCACACAGAGAAGTTGAAGTGTAAGTAGAGGCGATATCGACACCCGGGATCATTGCGTTTTGAAACAGCTCAGTTCAGCTTTTTGTCAGCAGGCTGTGCACAGCCAGTGTTTTGGAATATTTGTTGTTTCAAACATATGAAAACTGTTTTGAAGATCTGGAATTGCCATCTTTATCAGGTTTCAGAAGGCGGCTAGAGAGATCTGCACAGGGTGAGATACAATCTAGCACTGAGAGCAATCAGTATTTTCATTCCAGTATTATGACTGAAACTAAGGTCGCTCACTTGTTTCAGGAAAGTTGTCTCTGTCTCTCCATTTTTACATCCAACACAGCAATGTGCGTAGTTGTGTGTAGCTGTAGACTCACCGTTGTCTGATGTGTGCGAACTCCAGAATACGACAGTGTATCTGAGAAACTGCCCAGCAGCTTTGCCTCATAAGCATCATCTCCATTCAGGTTGTTCACTGTGACCCGCAGAGCCAGGTCCTTCCTCTCATAATTCAGGTGAAACACTGGGATATTGTTCTTGCTGCAGATACATTAACAGCATCGGTCAATCTGGGATTTAAACTGCATTATCAAACTGTTATTGCAAAAAATGTTTTCCAAACAACTGTCTGCTTGTGCATTCAGCAATTACACAGAAGCATCCATGTAGTTAGAGCAGCATTAGAGTCATGTTTCTGGCTAATGTAATATTCAAATGCCTTTTAGGTCTGAGTTGTTTTTTGCTGCTAGAAAGCATACTGCACTGTTGATCTTGTCTGAGTGTGTTTATTGGCAATGGCTGCATATCTGGGAGTTACCTGAGCAGCGTAACTGAACCATTCAGCCCATATACAGGCCCAAATACTATAACAAACCACTACAACTGGTAGAGGTAGGTGATGACTGTCATTCGGACTGGAGGTCAAAGCAATTCTATCATGTTATCACATTACATGAAGTCAGTTAATTGAATGTTAATATTAAAAAGGTTGTTTAATATAGATTTAATAAATGGATTTTACCTTATCTCAAGATAACTTAAACATGACATTTTGACCAGTTGTTTAGAAAAACCTATGTATGAGAACTCACATGGGTAAGGGGGAGTACATGTCTAGGTTGTTTTGTTTGTAGTATAACTGGTAGTACATCTTCAGTTTACTCCGGCAAATATGATCACTTCCACATCCCTCTTTGACAAAGTTGACCTACAAAACCGACAAATAACAAAGCTATATACAAACATTGTTACACTTTAAACAGTATGCCATTACTTTATTAACTGAGTTCCTGGTTTAATTTGTAAATGTAATTGTCTGAATGTTTACCTCAGTGACATCTTTGCTCGGTTGAGAGGGGTCCAGAATAGGCAGAAGCTGAGGAAGGCCATTCCTTGTCTTCTGTCGCTTTATACCCAAAATGCCTGTAGACACTTCAATGGGAATGCTGTGCATCTTATCCTTAATATTGTCCTGTGCAAATCAGAAACAGCCACCAATGCTGTCGCTGAGTCACAAAACCTTGAGTCCGAGTTGTCTCAAGTTACCTAAGACTAGTCCAAGTCACATCCCTGTTGCTCGAGTCATCAGGGCCTACATTAAACACAACTGACAGAACTTTCACCATATGAAAAGGAGTTTACTTGTTGTGTGTGGCCCAATAGCCAAACAAACACACTCATAAAGATAAACACACACACACTAGAAGTGAACGGTGTGATTTTTTTTGATAGGGCGAGTGTACACTTTGATGGAAGTGTGCTGGATACGGCATGGTGCAAGTGAACATGTTTAATATCAATATCTTTTGTCAAATTATTATGAACTATTACAAAAAAGAAGTCTGAGTCCTCATCCTTAACTTCCGAGTCAGTACTCGAGTCCAAGTTTGAGTTCAAGTCATCAGTGCTCAAGCAGACATTGTCCTACTCCAGTACTACAACACTCAAATTGTCATTTTTGGGTTTTGCATAAAAACTGTTTGCAACTCAAAGATCAGGTGGATTAAATCCTGAAAATGTGATTTAATTGTGTGATCAACATGTTTTACCTTAAGTTTGGCTTTGATCTTGATGCATGTTTCCTGGTTTTGATCACGGAGGTCTACGGTGCCATTAAAATGGTACTCTGTGTCAGTGTGGGATTGGTCCAGGAACATCATTCTTGAGGACAGCCCTTGTTTCCTGCGATCTCCATCTGCCTCGACAGAATAGCTGATAGCTACAGGACAGAGGGAGAGCGCAGGTGATAAAGAATCACTGGATAATCTTGTCTCTAAGAAAAAAACCTTTTTTTTTTTTTTACTCACTAAGTCTTGGGCTGTAAGATGCAGGGTTTGCTTTGTAGGTGAAACATGTATCCACAGTGAAGCTATGGATAAGAAATACAGTTTTTTAAACAATTATAACACAGGAAATTTTCACTATGAGATCTGCTGAAATATAAAAATATTAGAACACCTACCAGATGCTGTTACCACAGGTTTTGACTGTAAGGTCAATTTCTTGTGGAGCTATTTTGACATCTCTCCTGATGCTAATGACTGGTCGTGCCCTGAAAGAAAGCTTGTTAAATGAAGTTGTGATAGAAATCAGTAGGGTTTTACAGTTACTTATTATGTGTGAAGAAATAATCACCTGTAAATTAGAGCTGTGTCTGACAAAGAGCCCACAGCCAGGTCTGGGTAAGAGTTACTGTCCAAGTCCATTTTTCCTGCCAGGGAATATCCAAATAACTGGAGGTTGTGCTCTTTTCCTGAAAGGACCTATAATAAAGGGGGAAACAATATGTATAATTTATAAGATAACAACAGTAACATTTTTTTGTTTTTTAGTATCAGGAAAGAAGCTGGTATACTTTGATAAGTCTGGGTCCCAGAGCAAGAAAATTATTAACACAATACTTTAGATCTTTTGCTTGTTCCTCTCCACAAATGAATGTCTGGACAGATTAATGAAAATATGCCAATAAAATGTAAACTACTGACCTGTGCAGGACTGGTGTTGATTCCTTGTGAAGACCCATGATAAATGTAGACTTTTCCTACCCCGCTGTCATCATAAGGAGCTCCGACGGCAATGTCTGTGTGAGAAAGTGATCATCTACTGTAAATGTGACAGCAACTGACTGAGAGAACACAAGTGAGCTAAAAATTACCTTCATATAGATCTAGATTGATGTCTCCAATGTTCTCCACTGCCAGTCCAAACATCGAGTCTTTGGTCCCATCGAGACGAACGGGAATGATCTTTTCCCACCTTCCTGCTTTGCTGATGTAGATGTAAACGGCTCCTCCAATGTCTCGGTCCTTCATGTAGAACTGAGGGGCTCCTACAACTATGTCCTGCCAACTAGATCACAGAAGGAAGATAGCCATCATTAAAAAACAGATTGTAAACTAATAGATGAAAAAAAAAATCCACTGAAATTACGCATTAGGAACAGATAAGACAGCATTATAGTAAAGATATTACCTAACATGATTCCCAATCAGATTACATTTCATGCAATAATCAGGCAGAATAAAGGCAGTGGGAAATGTCACCCACCCATCTCCGTTCAGGTCAGCCACAGCCACATCATATCCAAAGGAGGATGCCAGACCTGGCCCATGTAGAGTGTGCTCCACTGAGAGTCTGGCTTCGTTGTCTTTCTTCAACAGGACCACAGCCCCACTGTGATTGGCCCTGGGTGCTCCAGCCACCACCGTCAGACCACGACTCCTGGTGACGCTGTACCCCGAGTCAAGGGAGAATCCTTAAGTGTGGGAGATGTTGGACAAGATCAGGTCTGTTTTTGCCCATTTTCTTCTTAATTTGGAATATCAAGTTCTCCTGGTATACACTTGTATAGACAGCCATGTGTCCTTGCAGATACAAATGATATCCACAGCCATTTCTTTCCACCTGCCAGTAAGAGGTTCTATCAAGACAACTCAGCCCACGAGGAGATTTACAATGTTACCCCATCTCTTTGTGCACGCGTCCCAACTAACAAGCAGGAGCCACTAGTGCAACAAAAAGCACATGCTCCTTTCCCACTCCTCATCTACTGACAATTCTGTTCATCACAGTGGTTTTAAAACCTTTTCTCTCACCCTCCTCTTTAGCCAAAATAAGACAAGACACACCCATCCAGTACATAAAGTTTTTGCATTTCTATAAATCAATACAATACAGGGGACACTTATGACAACAGAAGCCAAGTGGGGTTTGGTAAAGTATCACTATCTGCATTAACATTATCTGAATGTTCCCCTTTAAAACATGTTTGTTACTTTCTGCTAGAGCTTTGCCCAAAATGAATGTTTACGAATAATATAGTGGGAAAAGCACATGTGCAACTAACAATATTAACAGTGGTTTGCAATGCAGTGAAGGAGTTTATTATGTTTTTAGTTACACCTGTGTTTGACAAGTCAAAATGTCTGCGGCGAGGAGCTTTTCCCTCTGTTTCACCTTAATTACATCTTTACCATTGAAGTACCAAACTCTACACAGGAAGTAACACCTCTGCAAGAACAAGCGACACATAAAACAGCTCTATCGCTTTTGTGGTTTGACACTCACCGAGATAGCTGTTGGCAGGCACAGGCACAAGCTCGGGGTTCAAGAGGTGCTCATCTCCAACTTCATACGGGCCGTCATCATACACTCCCATCTCCAACAAAGTGTTATTCTTTTGCTCCACGCGCACAACGCCTGCAGAGGAGGTGAGTATGCAAACAGGTGTCAGTAAGCAAAAGTTTAGGATTAAAATGAACTTTTAAATAAGGGGTGGAAATATCACTTTGCTTTTGTGAACAGAATGAGAAACTTAATTCACGCAGCCGACACTAAAACACTTTGCAGCAATCGTATGACCTCTCCAGTTGTAAGCTCCCGGTGCTCCAAACACCACATAATGGTAGTCCTTGGTGAAGGTGACAGCCACACCCTGCTGGCAGGATCCAAACATCTCATGGCCTCTGGTCCTGCCCTCACAGAAGTTCCAGTTACCTCCATCCTCATCAGAGGACAAGTCTATGGTCAGGTCCTGACTCAGGACATAGCAGCGCCCGGTGATGTCACGAGACTCCTGGGGGGTGTTCACAAACAAGCGCCTCTGATAGCGATGAGCACACGTCTAACAATGACAAAACATAAGCTGCGTTTTAGTTCATCCTTTGGTACCAGACACGTTACTGGGAATGATAATTCAGATGCTCAGTTTGACTCACCACAACCTTTCCCCCGGGCCCCTGGCTTTGAACCGTCACTCCCATCCACTGATTCTCCTTGTTCTCAACACGTACGTCCTCTTTCAAAGTGGAACAAGACAGTGATATGAGCTCTGATGTTCATTCTTGACCTTTGAAACAATAATTTGTAGATAGATTTCTCACCTTCACTGTCAAATTCAATGCGCTCACAATCACTGGACTGAGACAGTTCACATTTATACAGTCCTCCCGTGATGTTGGCCATCTGTTTTCCTAAAGCTCTGGCTCTGGGGGCACCAATCAACAGCCTGAAGAAAAAGAAATATAGCTATATAGTCAAGATGTTATTTTCTGAAGCAAACCAGGATTAAGTGATAAATATTCGTCATCTGTCATCACCGTGACTGGCTATTTTTAAGAATACATTTCAACAAGTCAGAGCAGTGACTTCTTAAATGTAATTCATGTATGTGAAAAGACCAACACAGTGATAATGGCACAGCCAGAACACAAGGTTTCCTGTGGAGAATGAGGAAACATGTCTCCTGGCTGCCTTTAAACTATGCAAATATTGTAGCTGCTGGTAGCAAAGGAATTGATTCTTCTGTTCTGTCTGAATGTCACATAAACAAATCTGGTGATAAGAGCTCATTTGTCTCCTCTTAGTGAAGCTGTGCAGTTAATACCTCAATGTGAAGCTTTATTGTTAACAATCAACAGCAAGAATTAAGAACAATAGTGGAAGCCCAGTGGTTAAGACACATACCATACTCTATAATCACAACATCCCTGGTTCATTTCTGGCTGGGGACCCCCAGGTTTCCTGTCTGTCTCTACACTGTTACTATGAAGTAAGGACAGAAGAACAATAGAGATGGATGACAAATTAAACAGAAAACTGTCAGGGCTGAGGTCTGCAGATGAATAAATGTTAATTGCCAGATCAAGGTTCCAGGAAAGTTGGCAGATTTATTAAACTAACCAAAGGTGAACAAAATAACTACACATCTGCTACAAGGACAGAACACAAAACTAACGTATGACTACCGAAGCAAGGTGAAAGTATTTTTCTGTTTTATATGAACGTTCCTTAAGATAACTTCCATGGGTAAGACTATTACATGACACCATGACATCGTAAGCTACACCACTGTGTGAACTGACCAGCCTACTCACAGTGTAGGAGTTTTCTCAAAGAGAGGAAATCCTCCCCCCACCTTCCCCTCCCCATGACTCTGGAGTTCCTCCTGTTACCCAGCTATTGATCTACAAGGCTTCACTGTGTCTCCTCATTTGGTGAAAAGAGGGACTCTCCTGAGGTCAGATGTAAGGCTGAAGACAAAAATGTAAACCCTCTCTTTAAACAGACCTCAGTGAAATGCAAATACTGTACAAACAGAAGCCTTTTCTTCAGTCCCACATTCTGGGTTCTAGTGTGGGTGACACTGAAAACCAGGCAGAGGACAAACTACACATCTACTTTCTGTGTCATTAGAGGCTCTGCCAGGGCTGCAGAAGATTAGAGACACATTGACAACATTTTCTATTTGATAAACCTAATAATACTATTATCATAACACTGCTTGTCTACAACCTCAGAAATGACCAGAATTGTCAGTTGCAGCCCTCCTTAGATTAGTTCTGTCACCGCACAGCAAGAAGACTCCGGGTTCAAGCCCCGGCTGACCTGGTGCCTTTCTGTGTGGAGTTTGCATGTTCTCCCTGTGCCTGTGTGGGTTCTCTCTGGGTACTCTGGTTTCCTCCCACAGCCCTCCTCCCAAAGACATGCAGCTTAGTGGTGACTTGTAGGAGTGAGTGTGGGTGTGTGTGGTTGTTTGTCTGCATGTCAGCCCTGTGATAGACTGGCGACCTGTCCAGGATGTACACCGCCTCTTGCCCAGTGTCAGCTTGGTTTAGCTCCAGCCCCCTCACAACACTCTTCAGGATAAGCGGTGTAAATAATGAATGAATTAATATGCAGTTTTGCTAGATTTTTGTTAACCATTCAAATATCAATATTGTTTCAGTCTCCAGCCTCTGCAGTCCTCCAAGCTGCAGAGTGAAACCAAATCCAATCATGCAGCATGTCATGCAGGAATAGGCAGTGACTGGGTGGGTTTACACAGTGATCTCACTAGTCTGTTAACAGATGTGATCCAGTGTGCTCCACAGCTGTGCACTCAAAGCCACAAAAATCTGCTGCAGCTGTTCTAACTGTGTCAGTTTGCACACACACAGACACACACCTGTGTGTGTGTGTGTGACCTCTGATTGGCTGTGTACACATTACAGAAGAAATCATGAATATTCACCACAGGTCCAAACCAACATTAACTGAAGAAAAGGTTTAAAACAAAGACTTTAAACAGGTTTCCATCCACCTGTTGTAACTGTGTTTCATTAACCCTTTCCAAGCTACACAGTTTCTCTTCCAGTTTGACAGGAATGTCTCCAGTGGTGATTCACTGATGCGTTTAATCTCTCAGGTTACATGTTCACAGATGGCCGTGTATGTCCAGTCAAATGGCCTTTTTCTCTGGTTTCAATGAGAGGACATTATATCCATTAACCCAACACATTATTCATGGAGGAAACATCCAGTTATGTCTTTGCAAGATGCCACATTTTGTTCAGGCTCGCGTTGAAACAGAGATCTCCTTGTTTCTTCTGTAGCCAGTATGAGCAGGAAGGCATAGAAGTTGTGCTTTCAGTGAACCCATAAGGGGAACAACATGGATAGACGTCCATAAATGGACTTCAGTATTATAAATAAAGCAACACTTAAATGATGAGAGAGGGGGAGATTTGGATTTTAGCTCTGAAACACAGAGAGCTCATGTGAGTAAAACAGCCTATCTAGTCACACATGTTGCTCAACAAACAGATTGTTTAGTGAGGAATGTGAGAAAGCCAGCATTCCTCCTTTCGCAGATGATGTATAGTAATCAGATTGAAATATGTGGTGATAGTAGAGTTTTACAGCTGCTAGTGATTGTCATCAAACATGAGAGAACAAAAGAGACAGATGCAGAGTGTGTGACGTTTTACTTACTTGCATGAGCTCAGTTAAGATCATCACTGAGAGGAAGCTGCTGTTTGTTCCGGTAACAAACAATGCACAGCATTTCCATACAGCAACCAAGATGTAAGCGGTAATGTAGATAGTTCAGGCTATAATAATCGACTTTGTTAACTATACAGTATAAAATTGTCTGTTCAACGCATCACTGATGACACATGCAGATTTTAGTTTTAACTTGTGTGCAGAATTTTTTTTTGTGTGTGCTTTCTCTCAGTTCAATATGTACACTCAGTACGGAAAGTTTTCAGACCCATGCAAGTTTTTCATATTTTGTTATGTTTCAAACTCATCTTAAATAGATTGAACTAATTTTTTCTCATCATTCTATACACAATACTTCACAATGATAAAGTGGAGTGTTTTGAAAGTGGATTCAAAATAAAGGTTGAAATATACCATTTATATCAGTATTCAGACCATTCACTTAGTACTTCTTGAGAATTAAGCTGCAAGCTTGGCACCTTTCTTTCATTCAAGGTCAGTCAGGTTGGATGGGGAGCATTGGTGCACGGCCATTTTCAGGTCTCTCCAAAGATGTTTCACTGGGTTCAGGTCTGGACTCTGGCCCCAGGACTTTCACAGACTTCTACTGAAGCCACTCCTGTGTTTTCTTGGTGGTGTGCTTTGGGGCGTTGTCTTGTTGAAATGTAAACCTTTACCCCAGCCTGAGATCCTAAGCACTCTGGAGAAGGTTTTCATTCAGAATTGATCAATGTTTTTTGGTATCCATCCTTCCATCTATCCTGACTAGCCTCCTAGTCCCATTTGCAGAAAAACATCCCCACAACCTGATGCTGCCCCCACCATATTTGACTGTAGGGACGGTATTAGTGAGGTGATGCTCAGTGCCTGGTTTTCTCCACACACACCATTAGGAATTGTGGCCAGATAGTTCAGTTTTTGTTTCATCAGACCAAAAGAGTTTAGGACGGTATTAGTGAGGTGATGCTCAGTGCCTGGTTTTCTCCACACACACCATTAGGAATTGTGGCCAGATAGTTCAGTTTTTGTTTCATCAGACCAAAAGAGTTTACTTCTCATGGTCTGAGAGTCCTTTAGGTGACTTTTGGCAAATTCCCAGCCATCTGTCATGTGCCTTCTGGTGGTTTCCGTCTGGCTACTCTACCATAGAGGCCTGATTGGTGAAGTGCTGCACCAATGGTCGTCCCTCTGTAAAGTTCTCCCATCTCCAGAAAGGAACTCTGATCTCATTCATAGCGACCCTTGATTAGCTGCTGACCAAGGCCCTTCAGTTCCCAGTCTCTTCCATTTAAGAATGATGGAGGCTACTGTGCTCTTGGGCACTCTGAACACTGCAGAAATTTTCATGTATCCGTCCTCAGATCTGTGTCTTGACACAGTCTTGTCTCGCAGGTCAGCGGACAGTTCTCTCCACCTCATGGCTTTGTTTTCACTCTGACATAAACCATCAACTATGAGACCTTATATAGACAGGTGTGTGCCTTTCCTATTTATATCCAATACATTAAATTAGGCACAGGTGAGCTCTAATCAAGCTGTAGAAGCATCTCACTGACCATTGATAGGAGAGGGATGCACCAGAGCTCAATTGCAAATGTCATAACAAAAGGTCTGAATACTTCTGTAAATGGGATATTTCAGTCTTTTATTCTTAATACATTTGCAAAACACTCCAAAAACCTTTTTTTGCTTTATCATTGAGGGATATTGTGTTTAGATTGATGAGGAAAAATCAAGTGAATGCATTTTAAGATGAGTCTGAAAGATAACAAAATGTGAAAAACTTGAGAGGGTCTGAATACCTTCTGTACTGACAAGGCAAGCTCTTCACTCTCCTCTTACCTTTACTGGCTGAAAACCAACTATCAGACTAGTGTCACATTTCAAGCTTCTGTTTGTCTGACAAATATTCCATTCATTTTCATGACTGACTCGCTCTCTTTACACTTGTCAACTCTGACCAGTGTAAAAGTGCCTCTCTTTGGATACGTGATTCTTTGCGCACAAAACAATCTTTGTAAAACACTCAAATTGACACAGTTTCCAATTTTACGTGGCTTTTACACCGACTACGTCATGAGACGCACATTAGTCCAAACTACTGCTCTGTTTCTCAACACGCTGCTGCAGGATCCTGTGCCTGCGAACCAGTTTGCAGTAGTGGCTCTTGGCTGCAGGCTTTGACCTGCCACGCTCCCACCTCACTTTACCCCTTTACTCTTTGCGTAGCAGGGTGATCACGTTCAAGACACGGATGTCTGCCACATCAGGGGCCGAGGAAACGATTTGTTGTAGTGTGATAAGCAGCAGCGGGTGTTCTTGAAATGCTTCAAGAAACCATTTACAACTTCTGTAAACTTTTATTTTGGCACAAGCTGAAAACCTCTCTGACCAGGCTGCTTTGTGTACATGTGAGTATCTGAAATATGTGTCAGCTGAGCGCAGGATGCGTCGCTCACCTATAAGTTAACACTAAAGACTTTTTACTCCTTTATCACAGTAAACCGCTGAGTGGAAATGCACCTGCTAAGTGCAGACCATTTTCCAAATAAACATTACATACACAATGTTCTAAAAGAAGGAGGACATTCTCACATTTGAAAGGTTCAGTAGACTACTTGAATGTTGACGATTTTCTCGATTAGCTGTTTAAATCTACTTTAAAAACAGTTTAAGTTCTGCTCATTGCATCTGTCCCGTCTGTGTTCCCTCAGTGTGACCGTACACGCGCATTTGCATGACACTTATAGCCATTGTTTATTCACTCGTTGTGCTTAGGCTGCTTTTCATTTCATATTCAAAGCTTCATGGAGAGACAGTCGAAATCTATTGAAATCATCTGACAAACACTGTGGGGTTTGATAGATACTAACTGTTATAGGTTGCTGGAACATCACATCACGACTAGTTGGTGAAAATGACCCACTGGTCATCAGAGCAAAGACCCGTAAGTTTACAAGAAAGAAAGAAATCAGCTTCAGTGACTGAACCCGTCCTGCAGGTGCCTTGGATACACTTTTAAAAAAGCAAGCACAGCAAATGAAAACAGCGGAGTAGTAGAAACGTACAGTCAAAGATACCACTCACATTCTTTTATCCGGGTTGAGTTGCCGGTGCATGGCCAGAGAAAACCCGAACAGGCTCCCTGGCTCTCCAGCTTTTCTGATGACATGACTGGTGTCAAGGTTGAAGGTGGTCACCAAGGTTGGCGCATGAAAAGAAAAGTAAAATAAAAGAGCGACATAAAGAGCCGAGTGTCCTTCCAGCAGCAGCAGCATGGCAGCGTGGTCCAGATGTGCGCAGCAGTCCAACGTTTAGAGCCACCGACCCTACTGCTCCTCACCCAGCCCGGGGCTGTCTGGCTGAGAGCTGCCGCTGCGCCTTGCTCTTCACTCTCTTCACTGGCGCACTACAGCGCCCCCAGCTCTTACATTTAGAGGTCTAATACTTGTGGATTAAAGCAGGGACAGCCCAGTCCTAAAAATAAAGACTGACTCTGGCACCTTATGCTGCAGTAAATATAATAAAATGCATTAGGAGAAGGCCATGTGATCATTACAGCAAGGTGTGGCTCTTCATCCCAAATCCTGTGTGGAAAGTACTAAATAAGATGCCAAGCCATACACCACTGCCTCGTCTCTTTGGCTCCTACTTAACTCACAGGTGACAGACTCAGAAAAGACACCAAATAAACATGTCGAGCAGCTTGTTCAATGTATAATTTTTTCCTCTGATATATTTATGAAAAGAGGTTTATTAGTAATAGCAAGAAAACCAAATGACACCGACCCAATGACATGTTGCTGAAGGTCACTTTTGTGGAAGCAGTTAAACAGCAAGTGTCAGTCAGCTGGACAAATAAACCTCCCAAATTCAGCTGTTGTAGGTTGTACTATCTTTAAAAGGACTTACTGTAAAAATACTGGGGTATTGTCTGAAACAAACAAAACAAAACTGCTTGATTAGGGCCAATATACTCTGGTTTGGGGGTTGACCATCCACCCAAGAAAAGTGAAATAAAATAATAATGTGCACCTTATTAATACCACCTGTTATGGACTGTGTTTATAAATACGTAATTGCTATAGAAACACAAACAGATGAGCAAACATAAAGATGATTTTTAGTTCCTGTAAAGAGGTTTCCACCCAGCAGCAGCAGTGATGTGGGCCAGCGTGTGCATCATCTTCCAAACCTGCAAGAGACATTAAACAGCTTCACTGTGTTGCCTTCTCACTTCTTCCACTGTATCTGCTGGTGTTTCACGGTGGTGCGGAGAATAGTCTGAGCCAGCCTGGGCCACAGTCAGACAACACAATGTGGGCTTTGTTGAAGTTAGAAAGCCCTCCGCATGTCTGTGTGTGCGCGCCTGTGCAGGCAGGAGCCGGGGGTGCTGCAGGGTCTTAACGACATTCCTAATTGTAGTGAATGACTTGGGGAGGTTCTAGTGTATATGAATGGCAGCTCTGTTGCTGTGGGTTTGGTAACAGATGCATTAGATCTTAACACACCACAAGCCTCTTCACTGATGTCACCAGGAAACTGCAGTGTAAGCTCCCCTACAGCCACTGTATGCTGGCAGAAATGTGACTACCTGCTGAGGGCTGGTGTCCACACTCATTCTGTAACTAACCACTCTCTATCTAATGTGATGTAAAACCAGAAGGTGGGCACATGTAATGGTCAATATTAACCCAAAATGATCTCACTCAATCAGATTAAATAATAAACACTGATTAACACTGACTGCATCATTATTTTTGATGGTTGACAGTAATCTTGATGAGCTAATCAAAACAAATCTAAAGCTTTTATTTGGACGGATACACATCATAGCATGCTTGCTATGGCACATATAATCTATTTAGCAATTGATTTATATTTATTTTTATAGGAACAGATGAGAATATAAGAAACAAATCTAATTACATCAGGTCATCCTGCACTGCTCACTGCACCTCCCTACTGGTGCCATGATCTTCTGTTGAGAGACGTCTGCCAGATTAGAGTTATATTGATGACAAAAATGATCAGATATTGATCAGCCATAACATTATGACCACTGACAGGTGAAGTGAATAACACTGATGATCTTGTTACAGTGGCACCTTCAGTGTTTGAGGTATTAGGTAGCAGGTGAACATTCAGTCCTTGAAGTTGATGTGTTGGGAGCAGGAAAAACAGACAGATCTGAGTGACTCTGACAAGGGCTAAACTGTGATGGATGAAGACTGGGTCAGAGCGGTCTTGTTGGTTGTTACCAGTCTGCAGTGTTTAGTACCAACCAACAGTGTCTAAGGAAGGACAGACAGTGAACCTGTGACAGGGTCATGGACGCCCAAGGCTCACTGATGATGATGATCTACTGTAGATTAAACTTTTAAATTTCATTCATCCTTCTTCAAAAGATTCCATCTTGTCTGAATCTTTGTTAAAGTGGTTGAAAATGAGAAATATTGTGAAGAGAAACATTCAGCAGCTATAGTTGTGATATCACACCTAGAGTGGGGAGGCTGCTGAATCTGTGTAAAACATTTTCTCTAACTTGTCCTCACCACCACAGTTTTCACTCCTTTTACATGCGTTTTTCACTGAATGGTCGACACATCTGTGCTCTTCCTGACAGTAGAACTATGGAAGCAAACAGATTGACAGAAGATGCACAGTGAGCTGCAGAGTGACACGAGTGCCAACCAACTGCTGCACTGACCCCTGTGCACAGTATTAGGCAGGTGTTCATAATGTTATGGATGATTAGTGCATACTTTATATAATGTTTGGCAAGTTTGTAAATCATCCTTATTAACTTTCAGTATTGTTACAATATTATAATAACACTGACTAAATCCAACAGCATACTGCACAGGAAAATGACATACTGTAAGTGACTGACAAAAATAAGTACTTAAATCATACAGCACTTAGAAATAAGCTCAGTCCTTTTGGATTTTGGTGACGAGTTCATCCCAAAGTTTGGTCAGCATTCCCTCAGACTCTTTTTCCCTCGGGTCAAGGCTTTTCTCCACTAACACTTTCAGCTGTTCCTAGCACAGCTGGGCTTGAAATGCAGATACCTCAGCCTGGAACGCACCTCTGCAGTTCCCTCATTTGCATGGTCAGGTTTCTCCTCAGCATGAGCTTTAAGGGCCTGGTAGCGCTGCTCATCCCTTATGCTCCTTGATAAATCTATTCTTGCTAAATAAAGAAAAATGTTGCTTGCCTAGTATGATCTATGTGTCCTTGTGAAGTAAGGAGTGTATCTACTTTTACCTGAGTTCAGCCAGCCACACAAACAGCCCTTTCATGTCCACTATTGCTCTGGGTGGTTATGTAACATGAGCTGTGAAAGGAGGTGAAGGCTCCTGGCCCCGTATTGTCTCAGGCCAGTGGGAACAGAGACACCAGAGAAAGGGCTGCAGGTGGAACAGGTGAACCCCTGCAGGTGATGACACATTGTTCACAGCGTCCCTGGTAATATCAGTCATGAAGATATTATGTTTGCCACATTTACAATAGCTGGACATAATTGCAGATGTTACAGTCTCCACATTTTAAAAGTTTCCTATGTGAGCAAATGTTTTATTTAAATAGGCACATGCCAAAATATTGTTATTGTCTGGATTTCACAGATTTGCCATTTTCATGATGAAAAGGTTTGGTTGTGAGACAGAAGCTCCTTAAAAGAAACAACATGATGGAGGAAACCAAACCCAGACATTATCAGAAATCAAAGGAAGCATGCCCAAAATGAACAGCTGACATGAAGTGCCAAGGCTTAAAATCATAGTGATGACTATAGTACAATGCAAACAGATGGGTGTTGTTACTTTAGATGAAGGACTTCTGTAATTTTAAATTCAGTTCCAATCCTATTGAAGGTGACATTCATACAGCACATAGAGGTATGTAAAAATGATGGAACTTCATGCTGATCTGCTGATTTATCAATCCTATGGGGATTTTATGTTGGTTTTGCCATCTGGACAATTCATGCCACCCTTGACAGAGATGCTGAGAATGTTAGCAGTCTGAAACTCAAGCCCTGCTGAGACAGAAGGGCCGACTTCTTACGTTTCAGTGTAATGAAGTCAGCGTAGGAGTGACCGCTGCAGGAAACCAAACCCATAACATATCTGAGAATCAAGGAAGCACGTTGAAAATGTACAGTTGGCATTGACCATTTTCCAGCTGATGTGCCAAAGAAATAAGTCACATGGTAAAACAGATGGATGTTGTGTTTCAAATAAAGGACTTCTGATGGACTATCCTGAGGTGCTGTGGCTCAGGAGGTAGAGCAGTCATCCCCCAACCAGAAGGCCGGTGGTTTGATTCCCGTTCTCCCCAGGCCACATGGCAAAGTGTATTTGGGCAAGATACTGAGCCCCAAGTTGCCCCACATGACCAGAGCAAAGCCCTGCAGGGACAGTGCAACCGTGTGTGTGTGTGTGAGGTGGTGCCACAGCCTCGGTTCTGTACCAGAGACAAATTCTTTGTGTGTGTAACATACTTGGCCAATAAATGTGATTAAATTTAGATACTACTGATAAATACATTTATAAGTGCAATGTAAAATCGAAATGTGCTGATTTACAGGTGCTTTTTGATTTTTATGCATCCTAGTCTAGTACATGACTGCACAGAATCCTGACTAACATTGTCTAGAATCGGATGACAAAAGCATTAGCTGAGAGGAAAATATAGTGACTAATTCGTTCTGTCCTTAAGAGAAAATCTGAGAGTGGTACCAGTGTACAGCAATACAAAAATAAACAAAGTACAAATTAAATAATCATTACATGGGTACAAGAGACCGTTCACTGTTTAGCATCGAGGTGCACTGATGCTGTGCGACTATCAAAGTTGCATCTGCATCAGCGGCTATGTGAAGCAAGGTATTAAATCATACTGTGTGAAAGCGGGAGCAGCTGATCCTGGTCCTGTTGTGACAGTGGCGTGGTCCTTTTGTAGGGAGACCATCCAAAGCAAATCTGCTCCATTCCTCTCACACAAAGGATCACTGCCATTTATGGTCCCCGGGTGGGGGTGTGCCTCTGAATCAACAATGACAGGAGCAGGACCTTGCAGACCTCTCAGAATTCTTTCTCAGGAAGACTGTGCAGATGACACAGAGGACTCTGGGGATTCCTTTATTTGGCTGCAAAGTGATAAATGGTTTTTGCTTTGATGCAAAGGAATGGGCTCTGAGATGTTCTGTCATTATGTTGTGGCAATCATGCTGTACATTAGGCAGGGATTTTATATGAATTGATTTTCATATTCTCTTATCTTTCTGGTTATTCTAATGTTTTTGAAGTTTCTCAACTAAATTAAGACAAGACATTGCTCCATTTGAATCTTAAAAGCATAAAAGTTTGTTTAAGGGGCTTTCAGCAATGGACAGATCAGTGCATTAAAGACTGAAGTCTAAAATATACTATATTAGTAGAATGTAGCTAAATCAGACACAACAGTGATCACTAACACAGACTGTCCCCATGTGGAGCATCAAACATTAACCTCACATCTGTTATGAGCTCCAAACTTAAAACTTCCTTCCAATTGTTATTGTCTACTGGCACTGGTCATTAAAGCCTTTTGTTGTTAAAAATAACTTCTCATCAGGGGAAAGGCAGCATGACTGATTCTTAGGAAACACATGCTCAGCCATGAACACCCTGCGTTCGCCTCCGGAGCCATTAAGGACAAGGGTAACCTTTCAAGCTGAGAGGTCAAGAAACATTTGGTAGATCATTTCCATGTTTGCGAGACGCACATGCAGTGAATGCACACAGACGCTGCAGAGGTTTTTATTTGCTGACTTTGTATCTTGAGTTTAAAAAAATATTTGGAAATAATAAAAGAAATTCTAAACCACCTGCTGTTACTTTGATTTATTCAAAAGCATTTCATGATGACCAGCAGGACGATCTTGGCAGTAAATCTCTGTGAGAGGTGAATGTGTGGTGTGAGGGTTAACTTTCCTGCAAAGATCATTGTCATTGTTCTGCACATAATGCCTTATGCAGAACACACTATTATCTCTTCAGGTTTATGTTGGAATTCAGACTATGTCCTGAAATAGCAGTTTGTAATAGGTTCAGCGTAACACTATTTCTAAGTTTTGATTTCATTGTGAATACATTTTTAATTAGTTTCATAATATTCATATATAATCATTTCATTTAAACTAAGTAGTCTAAGAACCGGTGGCATGGTAAAAGGCCACTAATGTGCTAAGTCAAGAGGAGCTACTGTATAAGAGGAAATGTGGAATGGATGATAAAAGCTGCTGACATCTGTGTCCTGTCATGTGGCATCATGTCCATGTCACTGAACACTGGGAAGCTGCTCTGCAACAGCGGAGAAAACATTAGGGTTATAATCAGCTAACTGGGCATGACCACCATGACAACAGGAACACTTCAGTGTGATACAGTAAGAAAACGAGCAGCAGTGACAGCTATCTATTTTTAAGGCTGAAGAAAAGCTGTGATCAGATCTAATGTATGTTGCTGTGTTGTTACTAGAGTCTGTGTTGCTGTGTTTGGCACATCCAGATGTTGACTATGAACTCTGTGACTGAGGAACTATGTTGTGAAATCTGATGGAAATTTTGATGACTTGAGCTTTAACATTCTTCTTCTTCTTTAAATCTGGAGTTGTTTACATTTTTCTAGCGAAGTATCTGAATGTTTTACACTTTGACCTGCCTGAAATGCTTTTAGAATGACATATAGGATCATAACTATGACTTACATAAAATTATGTTTCGGGAAAACTCCTTTTATTGAAGTGTCAGGAAACTCACCAAGCTATTGATGCAGTTGCCATGAAAAGTTATGAGAAAGAAATATTGTAGGTATGTTTCTTACCCAGAAAACAGTAATGTAGTATAATAAAACATACAGGCCAGTAACAACTGAAAGGAAAAACCTAAACAAAGGAGAGGCCTCTTCCAGGCTGACAGTGTCCCCATCCATAGGTCACTGAATGGTTTGATGAGTATGAAAATGATGTGACTCATATGCCGTGGCCTTCACAGTCACCAGATCTCAACCCAGTTGGACACGTTTGGACCAACATGTTAGACAGCATCTCCACCATCATCATCAAAACACCAAATGAGGGAATATGTTTTGGAAGAATGGCGTTCGTGCCTCCAGTAGAGTTCAAAGACTTTCATTTCATTTGTCACCTGTTTGCGTTTTCACCCTTTCAGAATTCCCCATCTATCAAACAACCTGATCAACCAAACTTCTGATGAAAAGAATCCTGAATCCAGAAGATAATTGCTCACATGACTTCTATTGTTAATTATGTGAATAATTAATTAGAGATTTGGGGTTTTTTTTCAGCTTCTACATGACTCTGACTGGAGAATTTTTCTGGCACTGATACCAGGGAGCTGAATGCAGAGACTGTGCTCCACTAATAGGCAGTGACATTCAGCCGCATCGACCCATAGTGGGAGAGGATTGCTTGCCTTTAGGGAAACAATGGGCAGATAGAAGCTGCTGTGGCCTGGAGTTCAGGGTCCTGCCAAAGAGCTGCCAGAGAAAACTTGTCATGGCCTCACTGAACAAAGAGTAAAATAAAAGACATGTTGTGAAACATGAAATGAGTCATACTGAGGGGTGACTCATTAAAATAGAACAGCAATTACATAAGGCTTTCCCTGGCACAAACAGTTAAAAGGAGCATTCCACCAGTTTTATATGTGAAGATTATTTCACTTGTCAGGATCCCTGTAGTTTTGCAAATCTGAAAAATTAGGCTATAGTGACATCATCCATGTTTCTTGGCTTGAGCTCAGGGAACTTAAATTCATAGCAAAAAGCCTATGTTACAAACTTACCATAAAGTTTGCAAGATAGTCTTTTATGAGGCAAGAAAGGTCTAACAAAAGACACTGCTGAGTTGCATTGTGGGAATTATAAGTTCCATTTTTGAAACTGGACCCATGATTTTGACCTCTATGTGATTAAGGGTGACTGTGAAATTACAGTAAACAGTCATCTGTACCAACTGTGGTAATAATGGGAACTATGCTACCATCTTGTGGCGATTGAGACAGGCACCTCAGTAACTTAGTCATCACATCGGCTGTGCTCCAGGAGGAAACACCTGATGAACACCTGGGACTCCAAAATAGTTGCAGAAGTGAAACGCTCATCTGTGAACCTCTCCACGTGGAGAATATTTTATTTCGAACACCGGAGGGAGCCCCTTTACTCGTCTAACTTTCAGCATAGTGAGTTTTTGAGGTAAAATGTTGATCCAATTCACATCAACAAAGCCTGTGGTTGCAACAAAGCTCCCACGGTGTGCTGAAAAACGGATATAAATTCGCTATACTAAGTGTAAAATTCAAATGAAGAGGGCTAATCGCAAACGGCAACGCTATTTAAAACGGTTTCGCTAAGTTAATGCTGCCTTGTTTGAAGATGAAGTCGTATTTTAATTCTCTAATACACGACTGATTGCGCACTGAGCCAAATTACTCGTTCTGTGTTAGAGGACGAGGACCTCACCTGCTGGGCCTGCAGGTTTGGTCATAGTAAGTTCCATTGATTCATTTGAGATGCTTTGATGGAAAACTCTCTGCAGACAGCCGGGACAGACAGCCCGGAACAAATAATGGTGGGTGGACGCGGTGGGGCGGTGGGGAGTAGTCAGTCGTGCTGTCCTTACTCATTGGTTGCCTCAGACACAGCAGCTCTCCCTCTCACCCCCATAAATGCGCTCCCACCACCGACCGTAGCAGATAATCACAGGCCACAGTGAGAGGGGCACACCTTCAGCTGATTTTACCACAGTTTATACGGGGATGCGTTTTGGTTCACGAAAAGGTGCCATCAGTTCAAGATCTGAGTCGTGTTTTCAGCTTGCAGTTTCACCATTTTTGCGACTTTTGTGCATAAGTTACGAGGCTCCGCTCCAACTCGAAGATGACTGGGGTTTTTGAGAACTTAAATACCGATATGCATTCTAACCAGATTACCTCAAGCAATTACCACAGCTTGCACAAATCACAGGAGTCCCCGACTCTACCAGTGTCCACGGCGACGGACAGCAGCTATTACAACAGCCAGCAGCCTGGCCATTGCGCAGGGTCTCCATTCGGCCAACTCGGCTCTTACCAGTACCACGGCAGCGCCACGAGCACTGTGCCATTCAATACAAAGTCCTACGACCTTAGTTTCAATGCATCTTATAGTGCATACAGCTCCTACGGCTCCAACTCCTCTCCTACTCCAGCAGATACAGGTAAGGAAGCTCTGCACTTCTTTTTGAATAAACTATTTTAAATGCATTTCCTGTTTTTGAGAGCAAACTTCAAAGCTTGCTCGTGAAATGGCGTTTCTGAGGAGCAAATCATGCATGCACATGACAAGATAATTAGAAGATAGTGAGAAATAATTAGACACATACTTGTTTTGCAGGATGCACACATATTGCATGTTCAATTATTATATTTTAAACGCAAATTTAAAGCAAATTCTGCATTGTGTTTTCAGCATATTAGTAGAAAAATATTACTACATCTAATTCATTATTAGCTGTACACAAATATGCGAGCACACGCTGACGGCCGTGTAAAATGCATAGCAGCTCTGTAACAACTAAACATTGCAAAATTCTCCATGCATAACATCAATTTCATTTGGACGTTCCTTCAGAGAAAGAAGAGAGCGAGCCAGAAATCCGAATGGTTAATGGAAAACCAAAGAAGGTCAGGAAACCTCGAACCATTTACTCCAGCTTCCAACTGGCTGCACTTCAACGGAGGTTTCAAAAGACGCAGTATTTGGCTCTACCAGAACGGGCCGAGCTGGCAGCCTCGCTGGGCCTTACACAAACACAGGTGGGTACATCTATAAAACAGCTTCATCCGCTGTCAAATATCCACTTTATGCCTATTAAAAGAAATTAAACAAACAAATGTGGGTTTGCCCCGGGAAATATAAGTCAATCAATTTCATGCGAACATGTGTTTCTTTTTCAGGTGAAAATCTGGTTCCAAAACCGTCGCTCTAAGTTCAAGAAGTTGTGGAAAAACGGAGAAATCCCCCCAGAGCAACATGCTGCTTCCAGCGAATCTCCCCCCTGCACGTCTCCACCAGCTACTGCCTGGGACTTTCCACACACTCCAAGAATGAACAGTGTCAACTCCAGTTTACCTCAGAGCAGCAGCCCCCCTAACACGGCGGCATCTTCATCGTTTTTGGCAAACTACTCCTGGTACTCAAGCACGAACTCTACCACACATCTGCAGCCTCCTCTGGTCCAGCACCATCACAACTCCGCCATAAGCGCTGGGACGATATTCTGAAAAAAAAAAAAAGAAACATCTGGTTTAAATCGGACCATACTGGTGAACAAAAAGAAAATGCCAATATGTTCATTTTACAGACCTCGTGTGTGCGCCATGCGAATGTGTGCGCCATGCGAACTTTACGCAAGCATCTAGGAGAAGTTTACGGAGCCAGACAAGGTCGTGGACCTTTCCAGTATTGCGCTGGTAAATGGTAGACACAGATTTCTACAGTTATTTTTGTATTTATTTATTTTGTTTATGTCGAGGGATGAATGAACCACTATTTCCCAAAGCAATCACAGCCTGCAGGCGCGAGCCTACGTTTACGCGGACGTCACTTTTTTGCCATTCCTGCAAAATAAAGCATTCATCGCGGGACAACCTGTCACAAATGTAGCACAAGTTAACTGTATCGTGCCTTTTTTCAATATGACCTCATTTTGTTGTGCTTACCTTTATCCATTCAGCATGTCATTAGTTGATTTGAATAGCCTATATTGGGGTTTAAGTGTATGATATGTTTGTAAATATTTTATCACAGCTTTTTGATAGCCCATAATGCTTTGACTCTTATTTTTTAGGCTGTTGGTGCAAATCCACCGTAAGCTACTGATTGTCCTACCCTCTGATTTACTTGTATTTTGGTCTTATTTATTTTAGCTGTGTTCCATATATGGCCAGACGTTATTTAAATAAAAATGTTTTCTGTGCACATGCATTTTCCCCCTTTCTTTCCGAACAGACATTTATGCATTTATGGTGACAGGGGAGAATTTGTGTTGCTGTTGCTCCTTTTGCAACGGACCTAAAAACAAAACAGCACATAATTAATATTTATGAGCGCTGCATGATTTTCCCACGTCAAATTGTTTGATTTCCTTAAAATGAAAAAGTCTTAAAAACATTAGCTTAATATCACAGATTTAACCTGTTGAGGTTAAAACTCGTCAGTGGCTCCAGGCTGCACAAACATGTTACGATGGTTTATTTAATAGTTATATTATTTAAAGTATATTTTGGCTGAGGTTTATCAAAGGTCGATGAAAAACACGATAAACGAAAACAAAATTAATACTATTACCCTAGCCGCTGTTGCTTAGCAACCGTATTATTCACAGACAGCAGGAGGTAGCCATTACGGGTTTTACTTGAAATGCTAGCTAACGTTACGCTAATTAAAAGCTATGTCCTAAGTAACAGTATGTTGTTTGCCATTAATTTAGCGTATTAAGGTGCTATAGCAAGCGTGGACAAGTGTTCCAATTCCTCAGCAGTATCGGATGAAGTGCATTGTGTGTTACCCGGTTCCGTCATTAGCCGAGCCGGGGCTCGGGCAGGCAGGGGCAGGCCCAGAGGCCTGTGACAGGGTGAGCTGAGGGGGGAGGCAGCGCAACAACACAACACAACGCCTCTGCATGCGAGATGAGGAAGATGAGCGTGGGTATGAGTGTGCACGAGTTCCTCAGCCTCCGTGGAATCAAAGTGCCGCTTTCCATACGTTTTACGAAGTCAGCCTAAGCAGAGCGCACGAGAGAGAGAGGGAGTCGGTCCAGCCCGGAGGTACAACATCATGGAAACATTTCTCACGTCTCACACGAAGCCTCTGATCTTTAAAGACGAGCACGCTGACCTACATTATTATTTATGGGGCTCACGTAGGACCTGCGGGCTACATGAAAAACACAGGCACACTTCCAAAAAACAAAATGTATTGCAGCCAGGAAAACCTATTTGATTTACATTGGGTTGTTATTGTTTGGGGTTATATTGGGTTATTTATTGTTACATAGATAGATAGATAGATAGATAGATTTTTCACCACTAAGTTCTCATTGATTTTCATAACACGCTTCTCCTTCAAACGAGCCATAAAGTGTGATCGTTTCCTTGTACAAAAAGTAATTAGAACTGTAGCTATATGATGGCGCCTCCTCCCTTGGGGTGACAGGATCAGAGCCCAGGCATGTAGCAGGTGTGCGCCAATACTAACATTACATCCAGACCTATATGACTTCACTGGTCTTCACTGTTGTGCACAAAGTGCAAAAAGCATGCATCATGATAGGCCTGTACTGCATCATCGACTGAACTAACACAGTGGTTTTCCTTTATGTGTGGTCTCAGCCTATACACCAGCTGTGAAGTAATCAGCTCAGATTCCTAGAGAATACTTTAGGACATTATTTTTAGAATATTTATCAATTTGTTCTTTATAAAAGGGGATTTCTGGGTGTTCTCTGTTGCTCCATGTGATTTCATTCATGTGTTAGAGCTGTTGTGGTTTATACTTTTTGCATTTCTCTAGGCAACTTGTAAATGCCATACCCCCCTATCCTAATTTATACCCTGATCTGTAATTTTATCCACATTTGCTCTGGTTTGAGCATTCTGGCTTTCAAATCTGAAAGCCTGCAATTACTATATAATTCTTCGCAATTTCAGATGTCCTAATATGGGGTGTAATTTTTACACAAGACAATTTCCCGCTATTTCAAGCATCAACATTGTCAAAGTTGTATGTACATAATAAATGGGAATATCAATGCATAGTTTTTAGCCTAACATCTTGACTCGACGATAATTATATCCGTGTGGAGCCTACGCAGAATTAGCCTGAATTGCATGGTAACTGCTGCTTTAAATTTTAAAAAATTACTCATAATTTCCCCCCAAAGATTACCAAGATCTCGAGTGCACAATGTCATCAGCGTAATGAGGAGTAAACATTTATGCTAATAATCTACATTTTTTTCTCCATCAGCTATAAAGAGGGGAAATAAAGCAGATATTTTCAGTCGAACTCTGCTGCTATAGCTTAGACCAACACATGGGACACATTTAGTGGGATTTAAGCGCTCAGCTTGTGTCTGTGCTGCAGGATGCTGCTGCGGCTCATCTGCCTCCATGCTGCTTTCTGAGCATCCTGAGCGGGGGAGCTTCAGTCTCAGGCTGAAAGGTGTGTATTAAATGCTTATTTCTTACATTTTTTATTGAAAGTAGGGGTGACTGCTGAATTAATTGGAGATCATTAAAAACAGGAAGCAGACTCTCGATACAGGCGTCATTTAGTCACGTCTCTCCTCGCTTGTAACATTTATTTATTTCTGTTCTTATAGTTCAATTGATGAATGTTGCAGATTCGTTGATGATATAAAGTTCAAAGACTAGTATCTTTAGAGTAAAAAAACCTTAGGCCTATTTTATTATCCTGTAATTTCTGTAATAAAAAAAAACAAGTCTGCGGTGTATTTAACGCGCAACCAAAGAGCTTCTTTTGTGGAAAACGTCCTATAGCTTAGAAAGCAGCTCACACTGAGAAGAAATACAGCATAAGGAAGGGGAGACACACAAGTTGTTCTTCAATTTAGTCGCTGCTTTCATTACTCTTACATTGTGCTTTCCTCATTTTGAAGCCTCTTCGCATTGACAATTCCGTGATGTACACCTGCAAGCAATTTGCCAGCCTTATACATAGCCTAAGTAAGGGAACGGTGACGAAATGGCAGCACACCTATTTCGCTAATTTTTTTTTTTCTATTGCAGCAGCAAATTTCTTTCAGAGCACCATCTCTTTTGTCAACGCAGAAAGATCCTCCGTGCGAAAAAAAAATTGCTCATAATTACCTCAGAGATAGGAAACTGCATTAGAATAAATAAGGGCGAAATTACTGTAATTATGCTGGGTTTGATGGGCTCAGCTCGTATAATCAAGAGGAGAATACAGCGAAATAACACTGACCCTCTTGGATGTGCAGCTGCGCCTTTCTAGGGCTAGGTAGGCAGATTTCTGTTCTCTGCAGCAGCAACGGCACAATTCATATTCTTTCTTAATGCTATGGATTTATACATAGGCCTTAGATGCAGGCTTGTTCACTGAGATTTTGAGTTTTGTGTTAAAATAACAATGGAGCCAGGGCTCAAGCAGAGCATTGACAAACAAAACAAACGGAGGCAGAGCGTGTTGCTTATTGTATTTCTAATGATGGTGCTGTGTATAATACTACTACTACTAATAATAATACTAATAATAATGCTTAGTGAGTCATTGAATGTAAATGAAACGTGGGAAAATGAAATGCTCTGATAGGATGTGAAGGTGGTTCGCTGTTAATCTGTGTGTAGGGATGATGTGCAGATAATCTACATCAAATTCATCAGTATAATTCTAAAACATCTGTATATTCATGGTGATATTTTAGCTGAAGGGGAGTGAGTACAAGTCGTGCATAATTTCTTTCTTGTTGTTTTTTTTTTTTTTTTTTTGTCGGATGTGCATTAAAATGAATTCAGTTTGCACAGTTTTCATTATTTGGCGGTGTATAACCAGTCCAGTGTTAGGCTAAGTATATATTCTTTGCACACACAGGTAATGATCTTAAAATGTATCTAATCATACTCGTAGTTTAACAAGATTTACACGCAAACAAATTAAACAGGCAAAGGAATAAAGTATGGATCTTTATCAAGAAGGCCTGTGAACCTTTCACTTTTACTGAGCTCCATCTGATGTATTTTTGCAACACCTGCCTCTTGCGCAATTATTCACTTAAAACTCACACAGCTGATCTGTCCCATTCATGGCAAAAAGGTCAAACACTAGCGGGAAATGATAAAACAAAGAAGCGATGTTGTTTTAATGAATCCAGCTTTTCTAATATCAACGATGCAGCTTATGTAGGCCAAAGGATTCACTTTGGGGGTTTTAATCATCTGGACCACATAAAAAGACATTTTCGCGTAGATGCATGAATGAGTTAATGTTTTTTTATGATTTAACATCAGATTTCTAATCCTTAATTCGCTCCAGAGGTTTGACAACATCTGCAAGCATTAAGCAGCTGCAGCAGCAGCACAGGCATCATGTTGGCTAAATGCGAAACAAGACCATAAATCTAAACGAGCAGCCTTTTGCAGCTCACACAAAAGCACTCACATGGTGTCTGCTACACCAACCAATATGATACTGCTTTGTGTCAGCTCACATTAAGCCCGCACCACGTTGAAGTAATGCTTTTGAAACTTTGCACATTATGTACATAAACTTCAGAAACAGATCAATAAATTAAAGCGATCAATACAAAACTAAATATTTTCTATATGGACTAAACACATCTGGACGAATACAGAAAGCCTAAAACCCTGGTTCACAGCGTATCCAGTACAGCACAAAACAAATTTGAAAATTATGTACAAAATACAGTGACATGGGCTGCTCTCGCCTTCAAGATCTTTTTTTTTTCCCCTCTAAAGCAGCAAATCGTCAGGCCTTTTACATTGTTCACATAACATCGGGGCACGGCATAGAAAAGCTCTGCTTGCGTTAGTGCAGCATTAACAACACTGTTGTTGTTTCAAACACGCTTACAAAAAGAACACAGACTGACCTCAACAGAAAAACTAGTCTGAATAATTTAACTTAAATAACAAACATATAAACAACATAGTAGCAACTTGAGGCTTTGCACAATATGTTCTGGGGGGTGAATGTGCTGGAACGGCCGTGATGGTTACTGCATGGTGGAATTTATTCATGTTTAGCCCACTGTCTGGTCAAAGACACACCCCGTGGCCTAATCGACTGTCGATGAATGCAGATGTTGGGCGTAAACATCTGGCGTAAACAAACGCGTGTTTTCTTATAAACATGTAGCCTACAGCTCAACACAGAAAAACTCACACAAATATGATTAGAAAAAATTGAAACTGAACAAAAGTGATCAACAGCAGCCAAAAAAAAAAAGGATCCATTTGTCTGCGATTTCCGCTGACTGTCACGGACTTGCCCTTGGGGCAGTGCGCGCCCTCTCAGTCCCTTCTTCTTCGCAGCCAGTATGAGGAGGCCACTGTGTCAGTTGGCGGCAAACGGCAGCGAACTCCGCGGTGGTGTAGAGCATTGTCAGTGCTGGGCCGCGGCTGAACGGCTCTAGACCGCGTCACCGTCCTGATACACGAGCCACGGCAGAGTCGAAGGCTGAGGTCTGTTCACATGAGCTGTGACTGTTGCATAGACTCTTGGTGTGTGGTTGGATACCACGAGGTGTAGCTGGGAATGTAAGACCCTGTTGTTCCCACTGAAGTCTTCACGGTGCTCGGGGAGCTCCAGACAGGTGCCACCGAGGGAGACCCGCTCGAAAGTCCACGGCCGGTGGCTAAAGCGTTGGTGTCAATTGTGCCACCGCCTTGCTTCATGAGTTTCTTGAACTTAGATCGTTTATTTTGAAACCAAATCTTCACCTGGAAAGCGACAAGAAACCATTTGTATTAGCAAACTGTTTAAGAGTAGACATAAGGACTGTTTAAAAATGGCAATTACGCACGCTTTACGCACACCTAACACACACAGCAAATTTCATTAAACAAAGTCAAGAGCGAGAAAAATCATAATATTTGCCCCCCCAGTTGTGGTTTTACTGTTTTGGGATGCCATTGAAATTAAGACGTGTTATAATCACAGCGCAGCAAAATGAATCCAACTTGGGTGTCCAACATTTCTAATTAATATTGTCCAAAAATATGGTTCAGATGATTTGTAGCAACAACAACAATAATAATAATGATGTGCTGTGGAAAAGCGCCTCATGTTGCTGCTGCAGAGTGAAGCTATGTGCGAGCCTGTGTCGTCGACTTGCCTGTGTCTGAGTGAGGCCCAGCGACGCTGCCAGCTCAGCTCTCTCCGGTAATGCCAAATATTGAGTTTGCTGAAATCTCCTGTTCAGAGCTTGAAGTTGTAAACTCGAATAGATAGTCCTTGGTTTTCTAATCTTTTTCCCTTTCCCGTTGAATCGAACCTCTCCCCCTTCGACCACTGTGTTTTTCTCGGTTTCTGGCGCTGAGACAAGACAGGAAAGAAAGAAAAAATGAGGATGCAGTTTGTAGCCAACATTGCTGCGCAGTAATGAATACTCCGCGCAAGTGTTACAGGCTGTACTTTAGGTATAATTACCCTTAATTGCATACATTGTTTATACCGTTACGCAATAAATAATTACCAAGCCTAATTCCAACATCTGGGTTGCCATTTAGATGCAACGAGGACTGTATAGAGTACAGTGCCGTGCTTACACTGAAAGTTAATATTTAACATCCAAAGCTGCTGGTGCGCACTTACCTGTATCCTCTAACCGTGTCTGTGTGAGAGCCGAGCTGTTTTGGTAGGTCTGTACTGTGCTGAGATATGGACTGGTGGAATGGCTGCCGACGGAGTTCACGTATGGATAACCCAACGATCTGGGGAACGATGAGGCTGGACTGTAGCTGTCGTGCTGGGTATGACCTGCAGAATGTAAACAGTGCATGGGATAGTGTCCGTGAGACATGGAGGAAGGCGACATTTGTTGACTCGGGGGTCCAAACTCCATGAAAACGGTTTTTCCTGAGGCAGGGCTATTAAGACTTTCTGGAATCGTAGTCATTGTCATCTCTTCTGGCGGTTCTCTTTGTCGTGCTTTTGTTGTTTTCCCTCAGTGATCTCAGTGAAGGATGGGTCCCAATTTAAGTCGAACTGATTTTTTCTCTTTCCATTCATAAGAAAATGTAGTTTGTGCCTGTGAAAAGTCCTAGGTATGATGATGTGGACCAAGACATACTCGCTGAAAGGTTTGAATCTCGGACTCATGAATATTCACCAAAGAAAGCCGCTGATTGGTCCGTCGTCTCCAAGAGGAAAGCCGATTGGAGACGCTGGGGCTGGGTCCGAAGAACCTGATAAAGTCAAGGAAAACCACAGACCCTCTGGTTTACTCTTGCATGTCAAGACTCACGATTATTATGATTATTATTTACAATTCATCAAACGGTAACATCGATAATAATGACAATATTGGGCATTCGAAGGTGATTTTTTTTTCCAACGCACATTTGTGTCAACACTATCCAAAATTTGGAATAACAATCAATATATTGCCATTTATATTGACACAGCGGTCGATAATACACTAACATATTGCACATAAACCCAAGCTGAAAATGAAAACAAAATGGACTTTTAATGAAGTTAAAGCTGCTTTCTCTGATGGCCAGTTTGATTAAAGCTCATAACGCTCTATCGGGAGGTAGCTGTATTAGCATAACACTAGTGTTCAATTTTCATAAGTAGGTCTGTAATTAGTCATGTACTTAGAGTAGCTGGAGGTCTCAGTTACACCTGCAATGGGGCGTTTGCTCTGATGTCTTATGAGGTTTGTTGGTTCAGGTACAGGCCTAATCAGGTTGGAAATATCCTCAAACATATAGCAACATCACAGCCTCCATACTACATAAAAACACTGCAAAACTATTGATTTTTTTTTATTAACTGCGTGACAATTAATGTGTAATGAAATAAAAGTGATCTATGCAGCCTTCTTTTAAACGTTCAGTACAACTTCATATTGATTCTGTATCATAACATACAAACTAATCGTGTCGAAACTGATCACTTTCTTGCACAGATGAATTTATCCACCCTGTTTTATGAACACAACCATGCATGAACGTATGCAAACCGATTTTCTTATCACATTAAATTGCTCTTCTGGCGACTTTACGCACTTTCTATCGCGATCAATTAACGGTCGCGGTTTTGTTAAACACACCTAAGTGAGGATGGGGGTGCGGCCAGCCTCCCACAAGAACAATTATCCACGGACATTTGATTTAATTGAATTGACGACTGACATAACAGGAGACATTTTTTCTTGAGCACCAGACTTACACCTCCACAATTTAAAGCTCAAGCAAGACCACTGCAAGTTTAACCAGAATAAAATATAGAAATCTCAATTTCAATCAGCAGCTAAAAAAAGAATATTGTGTCCACTTACTTAAAAAAATATGGCGTAAATGAAGGAGATGCATCCTCGTTATCCGGGGTCAAGCCGCAGGACTGACTTGGTGAAAGAAGAAGAAGAAAGAATCCTGTAGTTCTTCCGTTTATTAGGATTCATTTGCACGCTGCAGCTCTTTCTCTGGTGTCTGTGCAGATCTTAAACACAGCCTGGCTGCTCCGTCCTCAGTGTCCCTCCATCTCCACATGAATAACGCATTAAAGGCAGTTAAATTCCGTCACTGTGATTATCAGTATAATTACATAATTGAACTCAAAACAGAACTAGCAAGTTGCGAAATGTGTTATCAAAATGCAGGCGCTGACATCACGGCGCGTGTGCCACTGTGTGCCAGGCGGCTGCTGATGCCTGGATTTAAAGATTTCTGTGAAATATTAGGCTATAACGAAGCCTGGTTCCTTGTCCCCTAAAACAGGCCAATTTGAAGTGATTTCTCTGGGATTACTTTGGAAAAATGCTTCAAGATATCCTCTATCAACAACGACAGTGATAATGGTAGTACAACCAATAATTATCATCTTCCAGAACAGAGGACAGATTTTTATGGGTACTTGGTGGGTGCGACTGATAACTGTCATTATTTTCCCACGATTATAGTATCTGCAAACTGAACGGCGGCTGTGAGCAAAGGCATTAACAAAATAAAGGCAGAACTTGCAGGAAAATGTAAAATAATACCAGGAGTATACAACTGATAATAGCAATTAGAGGCTTTGGAGTAAATGTAATTCAGGGCTGAAGAAGTGCTGCATATGTTCTATTAACTGGACTGATACGTTTTACAAAATCAACCTTTTACAGTAATTCGCAACCTAAAGGATTAACTTGAGGGACATGTTTTCAAGCGTCATTAGGATGAGCAGGCGTGTGATAATATCATCAATTTAATTTATAATCTCACTCCCGCGCTCGTTGGCAGAGGCGCAGCGCAGGCCACGACAGCGGGGCTCTAACTAGCCACACTAAAAATAAAGTCCTCCATGCATGGTTGGAGCGCGGAGGCAGGGCTCATTAGGAGTGAGTAGCTCTGTGGCTGAGGGTGTTTTAACACCTGCTGCTCTTCACCTGAGGGTTAGCGCAGAGGTGGAGAGACAGGGAGGTGGGGAGGGGCTGGGGGGGCTAGTAGTGGAGGAGTACCGGGGCCAGGCTGTCACAGACTTCATTTCAGTCCGGTGATAGAAAGACCTCCTCAGCTGCCACACCACCCCGCATTTTAACAGCCACCAAGTATATTGTCCCGGGCGTGGAGCACTGGTGCGTGAAGCCCGAGCTCCCCGTGCACCCCGCGCACTGAGCAGTGATCAGTGATTATCAGCGCAGGGGCATGAAGGAGACGTGCTGCTTTACAACCTGCACTTGTATTTGTTTTGCAGGATGTATTTACCAGCTTCAGCTTTTATCTGATGATGATTTGACCATTTTTGTGTGGTTTTATCAAAAATACGGCATCTGCAAGTCAAAAGTGACGCATCTCTTTAAAAATCAAATATTAAATCAATTTGTATATTTATTTGCAGTCACACAGATGAATGCACTCGATGCTAGGCTGCATAGATCCAAGTACCATTTACGAATTTATAACAGAAACACAAATTGTTCTCCAACTCTGTGATGCCTTTTTTCCACAGTAATACTGTAGCTCAGTCTTTCTCACACTCCCCGTCATGGACATTATTACCACGTCACATCAGCTACAAATGCTAATACAACTGGGCTGAATGGCTTTCAGATGGAACATTTCATTATATGAAAGTTTGATTTCGCGTTTTATCAAACAAGTGAAACTGTCTTTTGTTCTGCTTCGTCACTGGTTCTGCTGCTCGCTGCCGCGTCAATGAGCGCGCACTAGACGCATCACAATTAACTCGATTCAGTGTCTAGTTTCTTGTTTAGCGTGGCATCAAAATGCGAATTGATTTTGTTTACTGGGTTACATGTAAACAAAAATCATAACATCTAAGAAACAAGACTGTTACACTGGTTAATTGATTTCATTATGACGAGGGCCAGGAGCGCTGCAGCAGAGTGACAAAATGAAACGATGGGCAGTTTTTAGAAAATACAGAAGGACGTTTTAAACCGTCAAAAGCAACTTTACTGCCTCGCAATAACAGAAAGCGGTTTAAAAACAACAACTGCTTTGATTTTGTGTGATAATCATATGTTAAAGTGGATTTTATGACCTGCAGCAGAGTCACACTGTGTTTGTTTTTTTATTTATTTATCATAAGAGCTGTTATATTATTTATATGAGGGCTCAATCAGTCTTTTTTTCCCCATATAAATTAAACTTTATTCAGATAATTTGACTTCTAAATGAAAAACATGTATGTGTTTCTCAAGTGATCATAATTAAATGAGTGCTTAAATGTTATTGTTGGGGCTGCACTTACAAACAGGATCACAGGTGATGCTTTAAACACACACTATGAAGTAGAATAATATCCTTGTTTAAACAGCAAACATTTAAAATATTTTCTTTAGCAATAAGTAATGAAATTATTGAATAATAATATATATTTGTTTTGTTTTTAGACAAACCCTGAGAGGAACCTGCACCACATTTGTCGGGGATGTACTGACCAAGGGCTCCTGAGATGCCAAACTGTTGTTCTGAAGACTCTCTGTCTGCACTGACCTTTGTTTCTTATCAGTGTTTCTTCCTCCATACAGATGATTATGATAAATGATGAATCCAAGTAACTGCCATTCGCAGCAGGTGACATCTCTACGTGCAAAAGCGTCTGCGGATGAGAAGATGGGATCTCTAAGTAACACATGGACTAAGACTTAAAGTTGGCCAGAAGTCTTATCTCAGCTGCTTTTTCCTCCTTTTCAGTGTTCAGAGCAGCTCTCTTCTCAGAAAGCTGCAGTGTGGAAAAGCCCCCGGTGGACTGGTGGAAATGCAGTCCCCATTACAATAGCAGCAGGGGTCAGGCCATGGCAGCAAGCATCCAACCTGCCTGAAATTGGCTGCAAAATGACCAATTACCTGAGTGAAGGTTGTGTAGAAGGGACTTGGAAAACATGACTTTTACTTAATTCAGCTAAACTGTCAAAGAAACTAGTGTCACACTGATGTTTCACACTGGCCACATGTTACAGCATCCTGCTTGTTAAGTGAAGATCTGGACATCAACTAATCATAAAATTCATTAGAAATTCAGCGATTATTAATTCAGGAATAAAATGAATCTAACAGACCTAGAAGCAGGGGAATCATTTCACCAACACTAAAACAACGATTGATTAAACATCTTTACATGTAGGTCTTATTGAATTAATTTCCCTGCAAATGGAAAACATGCAAATTCGCCAATTAAGTCATTTGCCCATGGAGAGCTGGGCTGCTTGACGTTCAGCTGCCACTGCGCCTTTAGTCTGAAACCCCTTTTTAATTTTTGTTAAGAGTTAAGTCTCCAACAAAGACAGGAAGGAGGTCAGCACTCAGCCAACACCTGAATGTGCCTCTCTTTTTTGTGCTCCCCTTGATCCCCACAGTCTGTGCCTGTCATTAGTCTTAATGATGGAAAATTGTCATGTTGATACAAGTCTTGCGCTCCCCCCTCTCTTCTTTGTATAAGTAGAAGGTGGAAGCTCCATTTGTAACAAAGTTCTTTGTGACTAAAAGCCATGGACATTGCATTTGTACTGGGGGAGAAAAAAGGCTGTAGATGCTCTTTCCATAGCTGGGATAATTATTCCTACTGTGACCTTAATGATTCGCTCTGTTCATCCTGCATCTCATCCACGCGCCAGGCCCTCAGCAGAGCCCTGTGTCAGGGAATATGAAAAACCCATATAATGAAACCATTTTGGCTGATGGAAAAAAAGGGCTACTGAAGCTGCACTTGCTACAAAGACGGCTCAATTATATGAGTAATTGTGATAATTTTCCCTCCATTCACTGCTTTCTCTGAAAGGTAAAAAACACAGATGCTGAAAGGGAAATTACTTGGACAATATATAATCTGTGAAATGGTCACAACAGAAAAAAGGTGACTGTAAGAAAGTGTGGGACTATAAATAGCTATGTTAATGCAGGGCACATAAATACGCCCTCGGGAGCAAACACCGACACATAAACAAACAGCACTATCCTGTGCAAGCTCATGTGAATAGAAAAAAACATGCAACAAATGACCAGTGGGGAAAAAAATTAGGTTGAAAGTGGATATACAGCTGCCAGAAAATTAAACCTCCTTCTCCTTCCTATTGACAAATTTCAGCTCCTGAAAATGCACCCCCATAGTTGGCTATCATTTGTTGTTCTCTGACAGGAAAAGGATAATTACCTCTCTCAGAGGCAGGAGGACTGGCATGCCCTTTAGACTTTGCCATGAATGGCAGAAGCTTGATAGAAGGCTTGAGGAATAATTTTCTTCTTTGCCTTTCCTTTATGTTCAAGAGCATGTTTTGTTCCAAAGAACTTGGAGATGGCAGTATTGTAGAGTGCATTAAACCATGGGTGTTCATACTGTAAATATGACACGTCTCCTCCATTTGGGGGGGGGGGGACTCTAACATGCATAAAAAATTTCAATTTCAGCTCACTGGGAGACAGGCAAGACACTGAGATATCTTCTTCTTCTCCTCCTTCTTCTTCTTTGCTAAAAAAATATCTCCGCCAGGCAGGAGGCTATATATTCATGTTTGTGGAAACAGATATTCATTGTCTTCTAGGAAATGTCCAACATGTGTATATCTGCAAGAAAGTAAATATTAACCCTTCACTGTCTTGTGCTTTCTTTTCCTGGGTTCTGAAAAACATGTTCATGGTCTATACATAGATATTTAAATGCTAAGTGTTTTTCATTTCCTTCCTCACTTCCTCTTACCCAGCAGATTATTGCATGCTGTTGCTTCATTATGTCCACAACATCTTCCCCCAAAAGTGTTTTTTTTGTGTGTGAAGACAACCCGCCCACGTGTACGGCCGCTGACCCCTCAGGCCCTGCAATCTGGAGTAAATCTTTCCAGACAAGCCGAGCAACATTACAGCTTTTGCAACTCAAATACTTGTATCACACTCAAATGATGAGTCTCTGTCACACACCATGTCATCAGTTTCACCACAGCCCTCCAATAACTTCCGTCCCATTGAGCAGCCTCATGTGTTACGGGAGCCAAGACAGCCAAAGACCCCCTGGTCCTACCTGATTGTGCCTCCTGTAACATGGAGAAGCAGCCTGGTCACACCACCAGCCCACACTCTGCATCGCTTTTGTGTAGCTCACAAACACACAGCCACATACCCACAAACCACCAATCTCAATTCGATGCACCCCACTGTGCACTTCCTGACAGCCCCCAGAAATGTTTTCAAGTTGTCAGATCCCTACAGTAATAGCCTGGGAGAAGGGAATACAACAAAACAATAATCATATGATCTTAAATGTAGGGTATGTAAAGACTGTAAGAATAAAACAGTTTGGCTGCCTCATACAGGCTCTTTCATTTCCTGTTTTCACTTTGTTTCACACTGAAAGCTGGCACAATATTTAAACTGTTTGGTCACTAAAAATTGTTTCATTTGTAGCAGCAGGTGCTGTGATATTTGAGCACAAATTAATTTTAATGAACAGTTTCCTGTGGGTGATAAGGGACGGTATGAAAAGTAATAGTGGGGGGGGGGGGCGTAAATTTTCTTTTTGCTGGGGGGGGGGTCTATTTAACCTTTCCTGGTCCCACATAAGATCATCTGATGTAACTTTCCGTAACAGTGATAGCTGTGGTTTATTTAGAGGCTTTAAGAAACTGTGACATTTTGCTAACAGGGTGCACCGTGTTAGCCATAACTAATTAAACTTTTAACGTGAGACATGGTGACTCTGTGAATGTTACCGCTCCATTAACATTGGTAATGTTTAGACTTACAGCATCTTAAACTATTTGTGCACTTTTAGTTACTAATAATAAAACAAACAACCTTCGAACAGTCCCTGAACACTGAGGGTTGTGTTGCTGTCTCTTTAAAAGAGAAGTCCATGTTTTGCATTAGCTTTGTTGTACTCTGCCCTTGACTAGGAAAATGCAACACCTTCTACCAATAATCTAAAATAAATTATGAACCATTGCAGCTTACTTTTAGTTAATTAATAAAAGTGCATGAGGAATTTGAGATGGTGTGCCCTAATTTAAACTTTAATGGAACGGTAATTTTCATAAAGCATCCATATCAAATATTAAGAGCAAAACTGCCAAAGGCAGTCACTGTCACATTTATATTCACAGTAGTTCTGCTTTCTCTTAAGATGCTGAGGTTAAGATAAAGAGGATAGTCACTAATAACAGAGTCATGTTTGTTCTGTTTCTCAGCACTGACATATTCATCCTATTAGTTTCTACTTGGTTTAGAGGAGAATTAACCCTTGATACAAACATGTGATTGCTGTCCTCCTATTGCAAAACACACATTCATGACCTGTGATGCACACAGAATCCATCTTTTTGATATAATTTTTACATTTTTAGAACAAAATACAATTTAAAATGTCAAAGGGCCTTCTTGTGCTCTCACAAAAAGTTCAGTGTACCCTTCAGTAAAAGGAGAAACATATCACCCTCCTCCCTAGTCTGTCACCCAATCATTCCTTACATTCTAATCACTCTTTCACCTCACATTTTGGAAATACTATTTTCCTCATCACTGTCAGCATGAATACTCCTGGTCATACACATGTGCTCGACAGATAGAGGCATAAATGTAAGGCCTATAGTGTTGCTCCTACTAACACAGACTACGCTGACCCTCAGACAGAGGTGGTCTGATTTTGTTCTTTACACCCAGCAGTCTGACATAAACCAGTCTGACCTACAGCTGTACCACACAGATATTACCAGCCAGGGACAGAGAGAGCTTCTACTTCCAATTACACTGTTGCACCGTTGTCCAAAGCGCAGCCATCTATGGAGAAAGCTAAGACAAGGCTGTCACAGATTTTAATAAACGTAGGGAACACTGCATGAGAAAAGTGTTGCTGTCTCAGTAGAGTGACACAGACAGACCAAGGCTGTCAATGGAGCCCCTAATGACAGAGTAAGATAATGACAGACCCCAGTTAGAATCAGCAGGCAGAGTTTCAGCCAGAGAGGGAGGGATGAAGGGAGGAGGACAAAACTGTGGGCTCTTTCTTTTCTATTTTCTCAGTTTTAGCTCATCTCATACATATATCTTTCTGCTGCAGCTGGCGCGCATCGTGGCGGGGCAGGTCTGCATTAAGCGCACAGCGGATCAATAGCCATTACAACTCCCTCACAGCCTGACACATCGCAGGGCCACAGTTGACATTTCACTCAGGGCCGCATTGATCCCCAGCGCACAATATTCCAGCCCCCAGTTAGTAGCTGAGCCTGGGGTCTGGCTGGAATTGAAAAGCGAGGGAGGGGGGTGTAAAACGGCAGAGGGGTGGCTAACCAGCTGCCCATGCTACAAGTAAACAGCACACCCCTTGATGCATTCCTCATTTTCAATCTACTGGTTTTCCTGCCACTACTG